GTGTCCACGTTAAGGACTCTCCCTGCAGCTCAGCGTGACGGGACATGGCCAGCAGGGGGCGCCAAAGACCAACATGGTCACCAAGGTTGGATCCAGGGAGCCCTGGAACCCTGTTCCTGGTTCCCTGGTGACCACCAGGGCCCCGAAGTCAGGGCCATCTTGAGGAAGTGGTCTGAGGACAGAGAAGTGCTGGCAAACAAGAAAAATGGCTCAGGAAGAATCTATTTTGAAAGACATCTGAAAGGGTCTAGTTCCAGGAGAGAAAACGTGAAGCAAGAGCGATGCATCTGTGGTACAGTGTGAGCAGGTAGCAGTTTGGTACAGTGTGGGAATGCGGTGTCAGCCCGGGGGATTCATTTCTAGGGAGTGCTTACACTGCAGCCACCAGGCGACACCCTTTTAGGTCGGTCTTGTCAATAAAAGGGCTTCCTCTGTTTTCGCTGGCCCGCAAAGTAGATGATTTTGATTTATGTACTGGTTTCCACATTCATGGGGGCAGGATTTTAGGACAGTTATGTTGGAGAGTTATCCCGTCCCATTTCCCACTGGACCTTTGAGTGGAAATCAGGAGTCCCAAGGCTACCCCTTGACCTTGAGCACAACAGGCCCTTCACTGGCTGCGTGCCATTTTCCTCTCAAAACCCCTGGGGCAGGGCAAAGCTGGGAGAGTGGGGTCCTGGAAAAGTCCTGGAAAAGCTCTGGAAGCAGACATTTGATTGGGATGGCAAGTTGAGGCTGGCGGAGCTGAGCCAGTAGATTAGACTGACCCGGTGGTTGGGGAGTGAGGACCCCCCTACTATCGTTAGCAACCCTGTCTCCTTCTCCAGCTTCCCATACTTACCTTCTTTCCCCTTGGCCTCCCTCAGCTACATACTGCTCAGCTCTGCCCTGTGTTGTGAAGGGAGGGGAGCATTTGATGTAAAGAACACCCAACCTAACACAGGATCAGGAAGCATCTGGGTTATTGAGGTCTGTGGGGGGAAGTCAGATACTTGTTGCCAGACTGCTGTCTCATCCCACC